TCGTGTAGGTTTTTGTGTGTACATAATATTTCAACTCATTTGGGTAAATGCCAAGGGGTGGGGTTGCTGGATCATATGGCAAGACTGTTTAGTTTTAATAAATGCTAAACTAGCTTCCAAGGCGGCTGGCTGTTCCATTTTACATCCCGACCAGCAATGAGTGCCGGTTCCTGTAGCAGCTCATCCTTGTCAGCATTCGGTGTTCTCAATGTTTTGAATTTGAGCTGTTGTAGTAAGGGTGTCATATCTTGTTTTAATTTGTGATTCCATAGTTTCATAAGATGTTGAGAATCTTTTAACAGATTTGAATCTGCATATTTAGTGAAGTGTCTGTTCAGATCTTTTGCCCAGTTTTTTAGTTGGGTGGTTTTCTTCATTTTAGGAAGGGGATATAAGAAGGTTTTATTTGGTGTTTAAACCTTGATGATATGAAAAATCAGGTACTTTTAAAATTTGTATATATTTTATTTTTTGAAGGAAATAATATTCTAGAGATATGAAGGGGTGTACTTCCTCTGATCCTGTACTTCAGCCACTTACTTTCCCTTAGGCAGCCCTGTCATCACTTTCTAATGTAAACTTCCAGTGATATTTACTGTATAGATAAGCAAATATAATAAACATTTTCATTTCTTTTTAGCATACTATACATACTATTCTGAACCCTTTTCTCATTTAATATATCCTAAAGATCATTTGATGTCATTACACAAAAATCTTTCCTCTTTTTTGATTTTAATTTTTTTATTTTTTATTAATCTTAGAGGAAAGGAGAGAGAGAGAGAGAGAGAGAGAGAGAGAGAGAGAGAGAGAGAGAGAGAGAGAGGCGCTGATCAGTTGCCTCCTGCATGAGAGAGAGAGAGACACTGATCAGTTGCCTCCTGCATGTGCCCCCACCAAGAATCGAATGTGCCACCTGATGTACGGGATGAAGCTCTTACTGTCAGGGCTTCCCTCATTTTTTAAAAGTGATTGTACACTGTGGATGTATGCAATTGAACCTGTCCCTTACTAATGAACATACACTTTGTTTCCAATCTTCTATTATAATGCTGAAATGAATTACCTTGTATACATTTGTCATTTTATACATACATAAATTTCTCTCTGTAGGATAAATGATCAGAATATGTGCACTTGTAATTTGTATCAAATTAAATTTATATCTGTATATTTTGTCTTTGCGCTAGCAGTGCAAGTGCCCATTTCCCCATAGCCTCACTGACACAGTGTATTAGCAACTGTTCTTTGCCACTCTTAGAGGTTAAGCGTGTGTGTGTGTGTGTGTGTGTGTGTGTGTGTGTGTGTACACTTGCAGTAGTATTCTATGAGGTAGCATTTCACGTTTAGAGCTTTTGAATTTCCTTTTCTGTTCTCTTACAATCCCTATGTATTAATCATCTCCATTGATTTTAAAGCAAATTCAAACCATATTATCATTTGTATTTCAGTGTGCATCTCTTTAAATAGGACTTTAAAAATATCATCATTCCTAAAAATACTAATTCTTTTTATCACTAAAAATATCTATTTGAAATGTCTTTTTTAAAAAAAACCCTTGAGTCAGGATCTAAATAGTCTACACATTGCAGTTGGTTACTCTGCCTCTTTTCCCCCCTGTGACATTTTTAAATACAAAATTTCAATCCAACAATAAAGTGACATTTTTAAATAATGAAATTTCAAGCATACAGTAAAGGCAACTATAAGCATGCCTATACCTATCACCTCGAAAAGGTACTATTTTGCCATACTTTATCATCTGTGCATCCATTGGTCTATTTTCTTTATGTGTGTCTAAGTTGTAAATATCTATATTTGACTCTTAAGCTTTTGGGCATATATATTGTTAAGTTTTTACTTGTAAAATTTACAGTGAAGTGAGAAAATGTTAAATGTACCATTAGATGAGTTTTGATGTACAACTTGTAACCCAAATTCCCAGCAAGCTACAGAACATCAACACATCAGGAAGTTTCTTCACCCAGTTTCTGCACCTCTCCCATCTCTTCTCCCTATTAGGATTTTCACCATGGATTAGTTTAGCCATTTTAGAGCTTCATGTAAATGGAATCATACAGTATGTGTTTGTGTGCAGATTCCTCTTCAGCATGTTTTGAGATTCATCCCTATGTTTCCGCTTGGTTTCTTTTCATTGCCGAGTAGTAGTCTGTTGTATGAACACGCCACAGTTTAACTTTTCATGTGTTAGATGAACAGCTGGTGGACAATGGGCTGTTTCCCATTTGGGCTATAATAAATAAAGTTGCTATGAACCTCTTGTGCAAGCCTTTTTGTGGACCAGTTTTAATTTCTTTTGAGTAAGTACTTAGAATATCCTGAGTTGTAATGTTGGTATATTTTAAGTTTTACAAGAAATTGACATACCTTTTTCCAAAGTGGTCATCCTATTGTACATACTTACAAACAATATGAGAGCCACTAGGTCTACATTTAATGGTGTCATCCTGTAATTTCAACCTTTCTGTGTGTAGTGGTACCCCATTGTGGTTTCAATTTGTCTTCCTTGACAATCGATGAGCATTTTTTTCCATAAGCTTTTGGGCCACTCAAATTTCTTTACTAAAGGTAAAGTGCTTGTTTCCTCTCTTATCTATATGTTTACTCTTCCATTTACTTTTTCCTTTATTTTTGAATAAGGTAAGATTAACCTGTAGATGTTTCCACAATCTGAGTTTTGCTCATTGCTTTTCTGTGATTATTGACACTTTTCTATTGTTTGGTCTTTTTCTTAGCAGAAGCTATGAACTAACTTTAACAACCCCCATCCCCCCACCCCCCCACACACTTTGTCATTGTTTATTATGGCAGGATATTTTTATGTGGTGGAATTCTTAAATCTCTCTCTATATATATGTTTCAGAGAGGAAGGGAGAGAGAGAGAAACCTCAATGATGAGAATCATTGATTAGCTGACTCTTGCATGCCCCCTTCTGGGCTGCAACCCAGGCATGTGCCCTTGACCGGAATTGAACCTGGGACCCTTCAGTCCACAGGCCGACGCTCTATCCACTGAGCCAAACCAGCTAGGGCTTAAATCTCCCCTTTTATGGCTTCTAGGCTTTGTGTCAGAATTAGGACATCCCAGTGAGAGGATTTTGAAAGCACCTGGTGATAAGGCATGAAGGCCTGTACCCAAGGCAGACTAGTATATGGGAGGATTCAATGAAAAAGGATCACCAAGGTACATTTAAGATAAGCTTTTTAAGTGATCCAGAATAATTTGAATCCCACAGGTGACGCTGCACAAGTATATTCAAAGACTTGTCCCAAAACATACCTGGTTCTAATTTAAATACAAGAGGCTCACCGCCTCTCTTTTTGTCATTTGGCAATGACATTTGGGAATAAAGGCCAAAAGCAGAAGAGAAACTTGAGTTATTCATAATTTCTGATAGTTTGGCTGAAATCCCATGTACTGCCCCCTTCAGAAGGCAAATGAAATACAGGTGATAATATGCTGATTTTTAACCTGCTCT